AAAAACTTTTATTCTTAGGATGTGTGCAATTTTATTGAGGATCTAAATTCTGCTGGCATCCGGTTTGTTTACTTTTCACCAACAGCTGAGAGGGAAAGCAAAGGTTCGAACAGGATAATTTTAGATAATTTCTTTTGATCTAGCGCGTTCTTGACCCCCCCCCCCCCCCTTTTAATTTTTTTCCCCTAGCTTATGGTGAACGACTTGGACTTGAAACGGATTGGAACAGTTGTATACTTTTATCATCGCCAGGTGATGAAAATTCATTCGGTGACGGGTATTTAGAATCTCATGATATTAAAGCACGACTTCCTCGTGGAATAGATAACATAAGAGAACATCTCGAAGAGGTGGACGATATTCCATTACACGTGTCGTTATTTGCAGAATGCACTCCCGAGACGACACGTGAGATGATCAAAATATTTCAAAATTATGGAGAAGTTGTTTGTTGCATTGGAAGTGCATTAAATGCTTCAAATACTCATGCCTTTGCAGTTGTGCGTGTTTTTCATTTTTCAGAAATATTTCGAAGTTCTGTTCACTAAACGTTCATTTCTAACAAAGTCAAACTTCTTTTTAATAGGCAGACGTGAGTGTCGCTATGGAGCCGACTCACACTAGAGCACAAACAAGAAACGGGTTATGTCATTATAATGGAAATATGGATAAAGGACAATCTCCAATGGCCCTTGGCGCTGCTTTTACCACTTTACCATGTGGGTTATTCATGCACTATGATACTAGCCTGTATGCATTAACTGACGTTATAAGAGAAGCCAGAAGATTAATCAACTGCCTGAGAATGGTATATACGTTTAACAATGTATTTTATAAATTTTACTTGTCAATATTATACTATAAATCATCATCATCATCATCATTAGGGAATCGCATTTATGCTCGGAACTTATTTATCAATATCCTTGCTCTTGTTATTCTCGTACATTTTATTTCTTCCACCTGCACTTACTGGATATCATATATTATGGATTACTTGGATAATTTCTCCTATATTAGCGTTTTCTTTTCTATTTAATCCACATGAAGCGGATACTATGACAACTATGACAGGTTGGTCATTGTAATTGTTCTTTCGTTGTGCGGACCACTCAATTTCTCAAATTTATTTATTTTTTTTTTTTTTTTAAGTCAAGAACATAGAACATCTCAAAGATTTGAATAGATTTTTGGTATATTGGTTCTTGAGGTTCATTTTACCTGTATTAATGTGTGTCACGGTTTTTTCCGGGTATGTACGTTAAGTTAATATTTATTTTTTCGTATTTCAACATCTTTATATCACTTTTAACTATACAAATTCTTTTTTTTATCAATAATAGATGCTTATACTTTTTAAATCATACGTTACATAATGATCCGGGTGAATCTAAAATATTTGGGTCTTATGGAAGAGACGGGTGGTTGAGATGGAAAAATGAGCAGCAGTGGGTTGTGTTGTATTCGCAGAACTGCACATTATTCATATTCGTGTGGTATATCAGTAAGTAATACGTGATATATATGGTTTGTTTATATGAATGGCTTTTAATTGTTGAACATTTTCCAGTTATGTTATCATCCACATTTGTTCATCGAACGTTATCTTTACGACAATTTCCTCCGTTTAAGAATAAAATTTGGATACTTTCTGTGATAATAAGGTAACTCGTAATTTTAAAATTCTTTTTCTTAAGAAAAAAAAAAAAAAAAAGATAAATCTATAACCTATTTTTATTATTATTAGTTTGATGCTTCAAGCGATTTTCACTACCATATCATTAGCACCAGGACCACTTTCAACGCTTAAAAATATTCCATATTATGTTTATCTCATCGGATTCTTATCACCTATAGTTTTCATACCAATACAAGAATTGGTGAAAATACATGATAGAAAAGAATACACCAGATTTCAAAAGAGATCCAAATTGGAATTTAACACCAAATTGGGCATGCATTCTCCTGTATAGTATGAAATAAAACCTGATTGTAAAAAAAAAAAAAAATATTTATTTATTTTGAAAGTTAGGAATTTTGTAATTTAGATGTGTAAAATATCTTGTAATGTAGTTGCAATTTTTTTTTTTTTTTTTTTTTTTTTGATCATTGCAAATGTAATAAATAAGTAAATAAGCATTTGTAGAATTATGCATTTATTTCAATTTTAATTAATAGACTACCCAAAATATTTTCAAATCACTGAATTTACAAATATGGTCTTGGTACATCAGTTCACATTTTCAAGTGGATTTTCAGAATTTTGGACAGAGTGAATATTTTATATTATTAAGAATTCTTTAATACATACCGTAATATGACACTTTATGAAATACGGAATTATTTTCTTTAAAATTATTAGATGAACTTTTTTACCAATTCAAAGCAGCATAATGTTTTTTTTATTTTTTCCCGACATCATTAGAACCATAAAACATTTTATATGATTTTATTCACATTTGCTGATAATTGCGAATTACAAACTTTATTTATTTCCACATTTAAAGAGATTGAATTTGTGTGATAGATAAATTATATTTTCAAGAAATACTTATTGTACAGTAAAATATAATAAAATATATATATTTAATATTTTATCGCGAATCCACAACAAAAAACCAATCATATTCTTAGATTATCCAAGGAATCGCTGTATTAAAATGATAAAATAAGAATAAATCAAATTAAATAAATATTACGAAGAAAAGTTAAATATTTACCAAGTCATTATCAATCTGCTAGTATACATAGCTTGAGGATGATTCACTTGTTTTTCAGCAGATGATCATAACCTTTTAATTTGTCTATAATTTCATCCTTCAAACTTTCAACAACACCTTTATTTTCTTTCCACCAAGCGGATGATAATTCATATAATTCTTTAGAAGTTTTTCTCTTGGAAGGAACTTGATCCCAACAACTTTCCATCATCTCAAGATAAAAATTAGGTATTTCTTTGTTAAATTTAGGACGAATACCATTGCATATGTCTATCGTTAAGAGATGATCATGAGCTACATCTTGAAATGGTTGACAATTAGTGGCAATCAAATACATTGCCATTCCTAAACCATAAATATCGGCAGCTTGTGTGTACGGTTTTTTATTTAATACCTCCGGAGGTAAGTAAGGCATAACTCCATAAATTTCATTATCTAATCCCTATTCATTTAACGGACCACTTAATCCCAAATCAGAGATACACGAATGTCTGGAAGAAAATTCTCTCATCAAGAGGTTACCAGAATGGAAATCTCGATGAATTAATCCTTTCTCGTGAATGGTATAAAGACCCTTGATTATATAATGAAGCAGATGTAATTTATCCGCCCATTTATGCTTGTTGTAATTTTCTGTTAACCATTCATGCAGATTTCCTCCGCACATCAATTCGAGAACCATGATATATTCCTTTGTTTGCGGATCCTGTGAAATCCCATAACATCTAAGCAATCCCTTGTTATAATCATAAATTGGATAATTTCTAACCTATTAAAATAATATTTAATACGTGTGGTGGTACATTGATAAATTTTCGTTAAATTTACCTCGTTTAAGAATGCTACGGTCAAATCGTTTGTATCATGCAAACGTTTTAAAGCAACCATGTCTTCATACCGTTCACATATACGATAGACTTCATTGTAAACCTTTAAAGAATTTTTCCAAATTGCGGAATAAATTGTGGCGAATCCATTTGCTGTATATCCCTAAAATTTTCATAAGGTATCCACTCAAAAAATTCATACGGACTTTTTGCCATTTGCTGTTCTTTCTTAATGAAATCATCAATTTCCTTAACCCCACTCCAAGTACATTCATTTTCTTGTATGTATTTTATTGAGCATTTCTTACACCAACGGATTTCTACGAACTCGCTCTCTTCCACATGAGAATAAGGATTTTTACAATTTATACACAGTTCTCCGTTTTCATTAAATAAAATTTCAGACTCCATTTGGCAAATTTATGAAAATTAATGTAACTGGAATCATCTTTATATTTTGGTAAAATGTTGCACAATTTTAAAACTCGTAATACATACCAATCCGCAACAATTATAACGAGATCGATAATAAAATCGAAATCAAAAAGTCACTTCCTTTTATCACCTATATTATCGGCAGCAACGTCGGCATTTGAATTGATCCATTAGTCAATAACTAAAATTAGAACCAGTCATCCAGTTATTATAGTCAATTTAGCAATTATACTGGTTATGTTTCATCCAAAGTTCTTAAAATAATTCGTAAAATCCTCTGATGATATATATTATATTGTTCATTTTATTTCCTTCGGTAGAATTTTTGTTAATTTATCAAAATTAAAAAAAGAATGATTTATTACAAAACGCTATTTTTGCAAAGTTATACAAAGCAATTAAATTAAATATCGGAATGAATTTATAATCTTAAAATTTTAATTCGTAATTATTTATCAGACTGTTTAAAAAAAAAAAAAAATTTTTTTAACCATCAGTATAAATTTTAGCGAGTTCAAATTTCAGTTTGTACTTGGCGCAGCAAATTCGGACATATCAGATATCTGATATATTTATGTAATTTTTTAAAAAAAAAAAAAATTTTTTTTAATCGTAAGTTTTTTTTATAATTATCTATATTAGATTTAAATTCAACAAAATTTTCGTTTAAAAAAAAAATAATTAATATGGATAAGCGGTTTCGGGGAGATTATTAGTTGAAAAATGTTTTCTGATTCCCTAACAAATGTTATATTCACATTTACTATAATCTTTTATAAAGTATCTTTAGATATTAATTTCTTATCTTTAATTTAAATATTGCATTTATTACAAAATTCATGAAAAAAAAATGCATGAAAAAGAATATTTCTAATTAATTTATTATCAATAGTATAAACTTATTTAAGGATTGACTTAGAATAAAAATTATTTTTTATTTTATTTTTTTTTTTACATTATTATAAAACTTTATATAAAAATTAAATTAATATAAACTTTATTATTATATAAAATAATACTCAATTTTAATTTATATATTTAAATGATTAGAATACAAAATAAAATGTTTTGTATAAATCTTTGGACTTTAATAATAAATAAATAATAAAATTGTTTGCTTGTTTTATTTTAAAAATAGCTTTTAAATATTAATAAATTTTTATTTTAATTTCAATTAAATTTAATTTAAATTTTAATTTTTTAAATGATTATTAAAATTTATCTTTTAAAATAATAAATCAAAATTGTTTTAAATTAAAAATAAAATAAAATAAAATAAAAATTTGTAAAAATTAAATTAAAAAAACCAAATATTATAAAATAATTTAAAATCCTATAATTATCATTCAAATATAATTATTTTTCTAATATTTATTTCTGAAAAATAAAATATTAATAAAATAAACTATATAAAAGATATTTGCTATTAAAATCTAATTATATATATAACAAATTTTATTATTTTTAAATTTTAATTTTAATAAACTATTTATATGACAATTAAATATTAACTTAATTTATAACCATTTGATTATTAAATATATTGCTTAATATTTCTAAAAATAATATTTTTAAATAATTAATATGATTATTATTGATTTATATAATATGTTTTTATAATATAGCATAATTTTTAATAAAAAGAAAAATAATAAATCATAAAAAAACTTACTAAAAAAAGAATAAAGTATTTATTATTAATAGCTTATTTAATAATTATT